CAGTACTGGGGATTGAACTCAGGACCTTGTGCATGCTAGGCAGGCACTTATACCACTGAGCTATCTCCCCAGCCCTGTATTCCCTTCTTCTATCAAGATGCTACTCTGTGCATGTTCAAGTAAAAATAACTGGACTGTGTGTGTACAAAATGTGATCCTATTTGAGGATTACAATACGATTTAACACTGCCAAGAGGAGCCTTACTTTTATTTCTGAATTTACAATCTTCAAGTTAGCTTCCAACTCAGTCTTATTGTTGGGGGAAAGATTTTTTTTTTCCCCAACTATAAACCAGACCTCAGAGAATAGCAATTGCTATTTGCAGAGGTACATTTTTATCTTCTCAATAATATGGTGACTATTTCTACCTAACAGTTCATGTAGTTTGGATGACTTGACCTACATGATCATTTTCTAGTTCAGATATAATGAATCAAAGTGATTTATGTTATAATCAGCTTAAGAAGAAATCTTTCTTTTGTTTAATGGAAAGATTTGAAATATAATGACACAGTACCGCCAACAGACATGGGCTTCTTATAAGGAGGGAAGGGATTTGCAACTATATGTCAATGAGAGATTTTTATTAACAAGAATTTGAAAGTATATCGTTTGCCAGTCATGACAATTAGTTCATTATCCTGAAAACACTTGGTGCTTTAAAAATTAAGGGAAAGGATGTGAGGGGTAAGAGGGTATTGAATCTCCAAGCAATGATTGTGTCCCTTCCCATTATGAAGCATACTCACCTTTTCAATTCTCAGCACCAGGAAGAGCTTGGAGTGGGTGAGGGCACCGCTTTACATGGTGGGGCCTGCAGGCAGCTAGGTCAGTTACTGGAACTAAGAACGGCACTGGAATGGCTGTTGTGTTTCCTATGCTTTCACCTGGATCCTTTGTGTACTGATGAACCTGTCCTCCTTGCCGCCTCTCCTTCTTGCACTATGCCACCTGCTCTGCCAAATGGCCAGCATCCGCATTACCCAACCATTCCTCCTTTGTTTTTATAGTCTTTTCCCCCAACGGGTCATCTTCCATTTCTTACCAACTTGGCTTCAACCCCATTTTCTCTAAGCAGCTCCTACTTTTTTTAAAACTGCCTAAATCATGAGAATTTTTCTAAGTGAATGAGAACATTTGCCCCTGATTACAGCCAGACTAGACGGACGGTTCTCTCTTCACCTCCCTGCAAGCACTCTGAACAAAGGTTCAGTCAATCGCTTAGCCATCCTCTAGGCCTCTAGATGATCTTAAATGGCAGGAGTCTCGGCCGGAGGACATTTATCTCAGTAACATCTGAAGAGAAAACACCAAGCCTTCCTTGCTGTCTCCTGGGATGTGGAACTCCCTGCCTCCAGCCAGCTGCTTCTAGTCTGTAGTTATTGCTGGCACTGGTGGGGCTCACCCCTGTGGGGACTCCACTCACCAACTGTAGTGGTCCTATCTGGGGCCACATGAGACTGATCGCTAGTTCCTGAAGTATTTGAGATCAGTCACCAACCCTTTTTAAATCTTCCTTTCCAGTGCTGGAGTTTATTTCCAATCATTTTTCTACTTCAAATGAACCAAAGACAATATGAACGTGTTGAAAACGTATTTCTACTCTAGTTTAGCTAAATCACACATAACTGCCACTGAAAATGTACACAACTATTCAAGTGTGTGTGCTGCAGTCCACTACACCCTCCCCTTCAAAAAACAACTGGTGAGGTATGGGGAAGGCTCTCTGGCCACGATATTCATTAGTCGATTCAAAGAGGGAGGATGTTATTTTCAAAATACATGATAGGGGGCTGTCAAGATAGCTCAGAAGGCTAAAGTGCCTGCTTAGGCAAGTGCACAGGGACCACAGTTCAATCCCTGGCACCACATGCTGTTCCAGCCCAGCTCCCAGAGCGGGCTGAGCTGGCCACAAAAAAAAAAAAAAAAAAAAAGTGGGGGGAGCTCTGTTTTAGTTTGTAGCTAATATCTCTGATGGTGATTTATTTTAAATGTATCGATTACTGGAGGAAGATAAGCAGCTCCATAAGAGAGTGCTAATTTCCCACCATGCATCATTCCATGCAGTGCTCCTGTCTGGATGAAGAGTTTTGCTAAAGTTTAGTGGGAAGAGAAATGGAAGACTCGGTATGTCAGAGCTGTCTGGGAGACTCCAGGCACAACTGTAAGCAAGCACAGGGGCTGTGGCCGGCACGCACAGCGTCTGGGTGTGCTTTCCACCAGCTCTGCCAATGACCGTCATTTTCCTCTTGCTTTTCCCTGGGCTTCTTTCCCCTTCTACCTGCTTTTGGCTGGATTTAGGAGCGGGAGCCTAGGTAGTGATAGGGGCCTCGGATGAAGATGAGCGGTTCAGGAGGACAGAAGTCTGTCTGGTGTCCTCTGTTTGGCTCACTGAGTAGTTCTGTTATTTGTTCATTAGCTGACATGCACTGGATATGCATTCTATATGTTAGGTACTGTGTTAAACTTGAGCAGCTGGCAAGCATGAAGTTGGCAGAAGAGCTGGCCAGAGGAAAAATGGACAAGTTGGAGAAAGTCTCTGACATTTACTATTGTTTTTTGTACAAACTAAGGGTGGTATTTCATGACCAATTCCAGTACGTACAGAGAACTAAAGGCTTCTATGGCATGTGCAAAGTAGCTTGCAAATATAAAATCCAGTTTCAAGGGGTTGTTCTGAGGGCTTAAGGGGGAAAAGCAAACTTACAGAGGTCTTCCTACGACACGGGACACTAACCCACCTTCCTCTGTGTCCTGGTTGAAGGCCTGCGTGTCTTCCTGTCTGGCAGGGAGCGGTTTCATAACTGAGCAGCCCCTGGGCCCTGGTCCAACAAGAGGGTTGCATTTCAGAGTGCAGTAAAGCAAGATCTGTCGCTAAGAATTCCAAAAGCACCATTAAAGATGAGCTTCAGTTCATTATAAACCTGCTGCGCAAAGAATTTGCTTTTGTTGGGAAGATTGTAAAAGAGACAAAGAAGCGAATGAAGAAGGAGGCTGAGTTTTTAAAAATGATCTAATAAGCAACCGAAGTCACAATTCTGTGCAGCTGGTACATAATTTATAACAAAAGGTGGTATTTTAAGCTTCCTGAAATGTGGCATTAATTACAGTTGAAAAGCAAGAAACAAATTCAGTTTGAAAACCTCCTTCTGCAAGAACAAAACAGCCCCTGCCACCCATAGGACAGCTGAGTACTTCACTGGGAAGTCCTCCACTCCAATTTAAAATGCCATGACATTGTTTATAAGGAACTATTGCAGGAAGAACTGAAAGTCCCTATAGTTTAGTTAGAGAAGATTCCAGAGGATAAAGTGCTGCTCAAAGTGGTGACTGCACAACACAACTCCCCATAATTAAAAATAGGTTCTGGATCCAATTCAGTTTCATGGAAAAATTCCGGAAACTTCATGGGTTACCATGCACATTGTCAAAATGAAAAGGAAGAAACACTTCCCTCTTCTGGGCTCTGGAATCTGCTATCATGTCTCTTGTTTTTGCATACTATGAAACTGACCCAAATTTGATCAGGTATGATTTACCTACCTTGAAGATTTTTCTCCTGGAAACACATGTTCTTTTAGCTAAATTATTTAGCATTATTCAGTGGGCTGTAAAGCAGATGCATCACCATTCCCCTTTGGAATTCTGGCCACAGACGGTAGGTGGGCTGAGGGATTTTCTGATGTTGTTCTTCTGAAAGGTTCTTTTTCCCAAAAAGGGTGCTAGCTGTCTGGGGGCCAGGCTGCTTCAGTACATCAAGGTTTAAAAGTGAAGTACTTAGGCTAGGCCAAAATCACTATAAAATTTTATCTGGCAAGAGGTTCAGGGCAGATGCAACTGAGGTCATTTGGTACTGGAATGGAAGCGGAAGTGTCCACCGTGCCTGTATCCACCGAACCCCTTCTGGGTGATTTACTGTGATGTGTAAGAGAAGGAGTGTGATGCCGAGATCTAGTCAAGGATGTGGACTTTTAATCTTCATGAATAACACTTCCCTCTTTTTAGAAATAACATTTAGGATGTACTTTAAAAAAAAATCTCAATCCACTTATGGTCATTAGAAAGTCTAAAAATGTTGGACACTCAACCGAGGATGCTTGCGAACATTCTTTCCTTCCGTCCCCCGGGCCCGTACTTGCTGGTTAGTGCTGGCGTTTACAGCCTCATCTAAAGCCTGATCTTGTAATTACTATGGGTTTCTTCTCTCCACTTGTTGAGAACTGAAGGGGCCTGACAGTGCTGGTGAACTGAGAGCCCTGCATTTTCAACCTAAGCAGGGCCTGAAGTCCCAGATCTCCCTGGAGCAGCTCTCAGGGACCTCAGAGACGTGGCTCTGGAGTTCCCCTTCTTTCTTTCCCAGGCAGTGAACCCTCACTGCCCACCAAGAGATCCTCACCTGGGGAGGGGCTTGGGCCGGAGCCCTAGGGGTGGGGCTAGGGCGTGGGGACGTGGAATGAGGTGCAGGAACTGAAGAGGGGCTTGGACATCGTGCGGGAAGTGATGGGCGCTTCCACATCTTCTTAAAGCAGGAAGGGGTTCTCGGTGATGGAAGTCTAACTTGACTCTCTGAATGCATTTAAGTTCTATTTCTGGCTTCCTGGAGGAGCACAAAAGGCAGCTGCACAGTGCGGCTTCACTTCAGCAGTGTTTTTAGACACCTAGAGACAGGCTTAGGGTTGTTTTCCCTCTTCCCTTTTGGTTAAGTGCGAAGAGCACTTTTCAAATGTCAGCAACACAGTGCACTGTGCTGGGTGTTTGAAAGAGCTGGCTTTGAAAGGCTGTTTAACTTCTCAGTCTCAGTTTCCCTATATGAATAGCAGGAAAATAATAATAATAATACCTTTCTCAGGGGGTGTGGTAGATAGAGTAATTGCCCATTCAAAAATACACCCTACTTCCCAGAAACCTCTGAATTCGTTACCCTTCATAGCAAAAGGGACTTTGCAGAGGTGCCTGAATTAAGTATCTTGAGCTAGAGGCTCCCCTGCACTATCCAGCCGGGTCAAAGCACACACCAGGGTTCTGTGGTAGGGAAGGCAGGAGGGTAGGGTCAAGAAAGGATCAGAAAACACTATGCTGCTGGCTCCTTGCACAAAGGAAAGGACCAGAACCAAGAAAAGCAGGCGGCTTCCAGAAGCTGGGGAAGGCAAGGCAACGGATGCTCTCCTGGAATTCCTGGAGGAGCACAGCCCTGCGGGCAGCTCACACGGAGCTGGTAGGCTTCTGACTGCTATGAAGGCAGTGTGTGTGTGTGTGTGTGTGTGTGTGTGTGTGTGTGTGTGTGTGATAATTTGTTACAGCAGTAGAAAAAGACTAATACATAGATCTTGAATGCTGCAGCAAGAAAGAGGGAGGGGTCAGATGCCAGTGGAGGGTGCAGAAGTGGGGCCGGTGGTCTACCTAGCTGGCTAAGGGTGGACAGAAAAATATCTGTGTTTTTTTTTTCTGCAGGACCTTATAGTAAAACACAGGCTGGACCATTTTTATGCAGTTCCTCCACTGAACGTATGTCAGTATCCTGAAAATACTGGCTGGCTCTCACATTGCTGTTGTCCTTCATGGAATCTGTTGATGGGCAATGAAGAAAGTTCTCAGTGGCTGGACACTAAATAAAGTGGGCTTTATGGGAGCCTTATTTCATGCTGCTGTTCCATAGAGCTTCCAGAGACACATGTGATGTCGCACTACCCAGGGTTCTGGAGATGTACTGACTTTCAAATATTTTAGATGGAAATCTTTCCAAAACTTGTTGTATACTTTCTAATTTCCTTGACCAGAACATCTGACCCAGAACATACTCTTGGCTTTTGCATCCCTTTTCTCAGTTTTTCCAGTTGTCATTCTTGTTTGGCGCTATCTGCAGCCTTAGCTAACTTCTCTAACAGCCCCTTGTCTTCTAATGTGGTGTTTTGAGTCTATCATGATTTCAAGATATGGCTCCGGGGCTGGCGAGATAGCTCAGCAGACTAAAACGCCTGCTTAGGCAAGCTCAACGACCACGGTTCAACCTCGGTACCACATGCCACACCAGCCCTGCCCTGAGGGCGGGCTGAGCCAGCCAGAGTCTGGGTGTGGTGGAGCATACTTGTAATCCCAGCTCTAGGGAGGCTGAAAGCAGGAGGATCATCATGAGTCCAAGCTGTGTAGTGAGACCCTGTAACAACCAAATATACTAAAAAAAAAAAAAACAACAACAAAAAAAACAAACCAAAAAACCAAAAACCAAAAACGGGTGAGTGAGCTTAGTGGATTTATGCATAAGTTCAGACTAAAGGAGTATGGACTTGTATCTCTTCATCCAATCAGGGACCATTATTCTTTCTGATTGTAAGAAGGCAATCAAGATTACAGAATGGATTTGGGGAGATAACTCAGTGGCACAGCACCTGCCTGGTAAGAGCAATATCCTGAGTTCAACTCCAAGCACCAAAAATAAATAAAATAAAATAAAATAATAGCACAGGTATTTTAGTTCTGGAGAGGTAGGCAGGGCCATCCTTCTGAGGTGACTGGGGGAGAGGGCAGTGAAGCCCCTGCGGCCTGGGCAGATACTGCACTGGAGTTGCCCCTGTGAGCTCAGGGCCTGGCTCAGTCATCCATAGAACCAAGGGGCTAAATTCAAGCTTTTGAAAGATAAAGTTCCTTTTTGATGACAGTTCAGATGTTTTTCTGCTTTGTGTACAGATATCCTCTTGTGTAGAACACTCTCCCTCTCTGTCCCCCCTTTCTTGTTCCCCCTTCAGATTATGTCAGTTTCTTCTGCAGTATGTTGTACTTATCTATGTAATACAATCTGAATATTACTTCTACGAAACCATAAAGTTAAAAACTCTTTCAGACACATTTTGACTTTTAGAAGTGTGCCTGTTAGTTAAAATTAAGCCCTAAGTCATAGGACGACAGTGGTATTCTACAGTGGAGTCTTTTGCACATTCCTGGTGCCCAATCTACCAGGAAAGCAATTTGGAAACACAGATAAAGGGCCTTAATAAAGTTCAGACTCTCTGGTGCAGTAATTCCACTTCCAAGAATCTGTCCAAAGAGAATAATCTCTACACAGAGAGCGGTGTTACGAATATGCACACAGAGAGGTTGCAGCCCTCCGCTGAAGGACTGCTGAGGGCTGTGGAAACTCCTCACCACAAGGTCTGACTGAAGTGATACCCTGGCTGAATGGAGGGGCTGAATGCGGTGGAGTCCCAGACTTTCTTTTCTTCATCCTATTAATAGACTCCGCAGTATTGGAGTCCAGAAATATTAACTTTGCTCTATTTCTTGTTGCCTCAGTTTTCTTTTTAAAGGTACAGTCTGTTTAGCTGGGCAAAGGGAAACTGTTGGAAAAAAAAATCTCCTATCCTGTTTTCAGCTTTATCTTTTTCTTTTGTTTTGTGTTTTGGTGGGGACATCGCCTGTCACATGGAATTAGCCCCAGAACACTGTGTATCGAGAGGGCTTTGTTACATAATGCTTTTAACAGCTCATCTTTTACCAATGGTTTTGATGACTGTGACACAGCCATCTGGGTTATTAAATGAACAACTATAAACATGCATAACCAAGTTTGTGGACTTTATTTTAAAATTTCATTGAAATGATTAACTGCTTACAGTTAGATTTGTTAAGCCAGGGTAATTTGGTTTGTAACTAGACCTGCTCTTTTTTTGTACGGCTGCCTTAGATTTATCCCAGGAACCAGCTTTCAGGAAATTAAACAAACTTGAGCTTGTGTAATAATGCATTTCTTTGCTGCGTCTCTGATAACATATACTTTATGCTTTCCATTGCATTCAATGGGTTTCCATTGTTTTTCTGATTGACTTTCCTATATGGGTTTTTCCTTTTCTTTTTCTCCCCTCATGATGTATGCTACAATATGTAAGCATCTCAGTGTTTCTGTGTTGAGTTCCTTAGAGCTTTTCTTACTAGCCCGAAAGCTTTGCAACAGCACCTATGAATATTTCACACCCACAGAGGGCACAGTGGTTGCTTATCAAACACTGCCCAGCAAGTAAATAAAAGACAGACAGACAGACAGACAGATGAATTGGATTTTGAGGAAAAACTTTATCAGCATTCATAATACTGTAGACATGTGGTATCCCCTGCATAATGGTGCCTGTAGAAGGCTTTATGATGAGTTAGCTCAGTGGTGATACGTGGTTTAAACCTGGGACTAAATGAATGTGCAAGTCAGGTTTGTTATCACATAGGAAACTAGGCCCTTCTGCAATGTAGAGGTTTTGCTTTAACTTCGGAAAGAGGCTTATTCTTATTAAGAAGAATGTGCAAGATTTTGTTACAATAGAAAGTCTATATGAATTACCCCACCACTCAATACCAACCAAAGAGAAAAAAAAAATTCTAAAACAAACTTTCCAGGAACTGGAGGAAATAACATTAATATATGATAAGTGTAATAAATGTATCAAATGTTTACTTATAACATTTTTCTCACTGATTTGTAAAAAACAACAGAAAAGGTACAATTGCTTAAGTCCACAGGCTTTCTTTGGGAGAGTCGATCGATTTGTGAATTTTTAAATAAGGTATTCGCTTTTCTTTCTTTGCTTTCTAAATCTTATCTCACTGGGAGTGCACTATAGTAAGGGAGAAACAAATAGAACAAAACGAAGTTATGGAGAAATTATATGTGCGAACTTTATTTCATCATGAGAAAATTGCTTCTGCAGTAACAGAGAATACTGATATCTACATGATGATAGGGGTGCTTTGTATTCCGATACATACCTTATATTTGTACACAGTGTATAAAATTCAGGGAGGAAATGAATTTCTACAGTACATTTCTTTGTGGAAGAGAACGTGTTCCATTAGTCTCATTTAGAAAATGCCCCCCAGGTCTGGGACTGTAGTACAAGGATTGCAATTCCAAGTCCTGTAATGTTACCATAATTTTATGAACATTAGAAGAAACTAAGTGATTACATCCTTCTGTAGGATGGGAGACAGAAGTCCTAAGGTTGCTATACTAATAACTCTTTTTAGTAGAGTAGTGTGGTCCCCGTAATGTAGTATGAATAGAAAGGTTTCCTATAGTTCGGATGACATATTAGCAACATCGCCGCAGACTTCGCTCTGCTCTGCTGGCATGCACGTCTCTCTTCAATCAAAAGGCCTTGTGCGCATGTGCAAGTGGGCCCAGCACCATGAAGGGCTTTTGGAATTGCTTCTGGAAAAAAAGCTCTTGGAAGCCTTCAGCATTTAGCACGGTATTATGGGAAATAAGGCAACTGCTCTCGAGCTTATAGGTCATCCCAGAGAGAAGTTGCAGAAAGGATACCTCTGGGGGAGGCTGTAGCTGTCGCGTCACCGTGACTCAGATGGGGATAGATCATGCTAGCCTTTTCCCATCAACCAATTCTCTTTGAACAGCATCACTGAGACTTATAACCACCCCCCAAAGCACTGCTTTCACAGGTAGGGGCCTGTCACCCTTGCTATGGGATTCAAAGTTGTGCTTGTTTTTAACCATGTGAGCCATCTGAGGGGTGACTGGCATGTGCTGAAGCCTGTGGGAAGTGGTAGGGGACAGCCTTCCCCGCACCCCCGGTCTTTTAGCTAACTTCTTGAACAAATTCATCGTAAACAGTTCTGCCACGGGAGGTTATGCAGAAGGCCAGTAGGGTGGGAGGTGACTTCGATGATTAAAAGGACACCCAAAGTTCTTAAACTGTCATGGCACCAGCCACCAACAGCCCCTCATCATTTCATTTCCTATGTTGTGATTGCTTTGAACATGAAAATATTAAGAGCCTCAGAGGTTACACACAGCCATCAAATTCAAGCCTCTCTTCTGAGACAGATAATTTGTCTTTGATGACCCAACTATTTACAGTATAGCCAAGAAGTAAACCGCTTCTAGAGTTGACCCTTGTCCGGTGGCCTTAGGTAGCCTACCCAGGACTAGAGGGACCGACCGAGACGCACACGGTGAGGTAATGCGGAGCTGCTGGTCTCTTCCTGTTAGGTTGCCACAGGAAGTCTCAGTCCTGGTGCTGGAGGCCTGGGCTTGGGGTAGGAAATGGAAGCCTTCCGAGCTGGGTAAGCCAGGCAGGAGTGGCCCGTAGGCCTTCTCTGAATGGCTCTAGCACCCCACCCCCATGTGCAGGCATTTACATGACTGACATGGAAACATGTCCAGTCGTACAAATCCACAGCTGGAAAGAACCCAGGGCCCCCCTCAGGAACAAGCAAGCACTACAAAGAAACAGATTCATTAGGGCAAAACCAGCAACTGATGTGGTGGGTGGAGAGTGAGAGCCTGTGCTAGAGCCTAGACACCTTCGCGTGAGACACGGGGGCACATTCAGGCCTTCGTTCTCAGCTTCTTCAAATGCAGCTTATTTAGAGGGTTATCAGAGGAGGCCGGTGGCCCAGGCTATTGCACTGCCGATGTGGAATCTTTGGTTTGATCACATCCACATCCCATGGGCTCGCTAAAGGCAGGAGAGGAAGAGCGGCTCTGGGCCGGGACGCAGAGCAAGTCATGGAAAGGCTCGAGGAATGTGGGCAGTGGTGGGGTTACCTCCGGGCTGGCCGGCCACGTTAGATGCCTCGCAGCTCTCGCTCTGAGGGATACTGCTGAAGGGCCTTACCCTCGGACGTCTGCAGGACCAAGGTCTTGCTGTACGGGCTGACTCCCGTTTTGTTGAAGGCCTTGACTCGCGCGTTGTACGTGCTGTTGAAGTGAAGGCCGTCCACAGTGCACATTGTCTCTTTTCCGACATACACTTCCTGGGGGCGACAAAAACAGGAGATCACTTAAGGGGAAGCCGTGCGTTGCCTGCTGGTTGGCAGCGAGAGTTTGGGTGTGAGCCTGATTTGGGATTCACTCCTGTGAGATACTGGGCCATTTAATTCACCCTTAAAGGCTGAGTTAACCAATATGTAAAATGGGGACAGCATTATCCATTTTATGAGGATAACGTAAGGTTGGATGTTCAGACTGATTAGCATGGGGCTAATTGTAGTTAGCATGGGCCCAGTGACTTCATCAGTGGTAGTTATTAGCAGCTAGTGTGTGCTTAGAGTGGAGGTGGTATTTATGTGCATTGACTTGGCAGCTATCCAGCATATTCTACCTGCTGGGTTCTTTATCCTTCACCATGGTCTGTGAGAAGCATGTTGGAAACATGAACACATACAGGTGGGTGGTCAGTACGCTGCATGTACAACTGGGCTGACACTTTCTGGCACTGTTGCAAAGACTAGCCTTTAGAGCCAGAGGAGTATAGATTTATACCACAGTACAGAGAGAAGGAGGAGGAAGAATGACATTTCAAAGGCTTAAAATAAACCCCAGCATAATGCATCTTTTGCATAGGTTAGGCATTTGCTTTGTACTTCTTCAGCTGTACACTTTGCAAAGCTATGCTGATGTAATGAATAAAAATAATTTGCACTCAAAGCATAGTCTTAAGACAACTTTCCAAGAAGAGTGAGGGGTCCAGGATTGCCCACTAATTCATTATTCCTACAATGAGGGGTCCAGGATTGTCCACTAATTCATTATTCCTACAATAGTAATTTAAATATTCAAATCTACAAATTTAAATATTTAAATTAAAAAATTTAAATATTATGTCCTCTTATTCAGTCTCAAATTCTATGTGCATACGAATCACCCATGACTCTTATCAGAATGCAGTTTCTGATCTTGGGTGGGTCTGAAATTTTGCATTTTTAACAAACTCCCAATCCTGCATGGGGAGGACTTCATCTGTGTAGTGAGGAAAGTGATCACCTGAAGACTTTCAGCCATGCTTCTCACAGTAGCCTGTGGAGTAAGAACAGGGAATCCACATGGGGGTGCCATGGTGGACTACAGGGCTTTAGAGGGGGTTCAGTGGCTCCCTGGATGTTACTGGGCATGAGGAGGAAGGTGGAGCTAGTTGATGTTAAGCGTCCGATATCTAAGATAGGACAACAGGAATATAGAAGATACAGAACCAAGTTTTGGAAGAAAATAACAAGGCTGTTTTAAAGCGTGTTTAATTTAAGTCAGTTTTAGGATGTAGAAATGGAAAAAGTTCTACAAGGGTTGGGCTGTAAGCCTGGCTCTCGGTAGAGAAGCATGGTTGAGAGGTGGACTGGGGAAGGGTCAGCACCCCAGGAGGTGGGGGGCAGGAGGAATGCCAGAGCCTGGGCCTGGGAGAGAGGGGGCGAGGTCCGGGAGCGGCACGGGAGGCTTCCGACTGGGAAGAATGGGGCAGAGAAGTCAAGGCAAGATAGGAAAATTGATTTAAAGAACTGGGAAAGCCAGGAGAATCAGTTTCTCAGGAGAAAAAAACCAGAGGGATGGCTGGAGGGGGAAAGGCCCAGAAAATGAAACAAGAATGCAAAAGGAAAAGTTGGAGATGAACACCTGACCAACATCAGGAACTGTACACGCACGAGTTCAAAAACACGAAATGGGACCCAAGACTGACACTTATCTAGGAAAGGTAGAAGTGTCATTTTGGCATGTTAATAAATCCACACATGTGTGTATAAAGGTTCCATCAGGCGACAGCCTTTGTCCTTAAGAATTACAGAGGCCATAGTTCCTCTTGTCTAGTGTGTGTGTGGGGTCAAAACACTTAGGGAAGGGAGGCCTTGGGAGGCTTTGAACTCGAAAGCCGGTGGGCCAGGCTTTGCCTCTGAAGGCCTGAAGAAAGCCTCAACTTCAGCAGCCTGGAGTTCTCTCTGGCCATGGTTTCCCTTTGGCTTGCCTGGACTGGCCTCAGCAGCCCACAGGGCCGCCCTGTGGGAGCTCCCAGGTGTTGGAGATCCCAAGGAAAGAAGCTGAGATGCAGTTTAGTTGGAGCGGGTAGAAAACAAGGTGGAAGGTGCCAATGGATGAGTGAGGCTGTGCGCCATGACACAGGAGTGGACAAGGGTAGATAGGAAGATACACATGACCATCAACTTGAGGGCCACCGTGGCTGTGTCTGCTCAGCCTGGTCTGCTTCCAGAAGGCTCCCCAGCTCTCCATCAGAATTAGGACACCCCACCAGTTCTGTCTGGTGAGAGGCCTCCCCAAAACACAACTTGGAAAATTTTTGCTAGAAAAGTTCATTAGAATAGGCAGGCTATCATGAAAGAACTTGACATGGAAGAGGAACACAAATCAAAGACTTTAGAAACAGTGGCGTTAAAGACAGACTGTGGATACTGATATTACTGGCAATGAATAAAGGCAAGAACAACAGCTACTCCTGCAGGCTTCCATGTACCAGACAGCAGGTTCTGAATCTTATCTGGGCAGGTGAATGGACTTTGAGCAAGAAGGTGTGAGACACGAGTTCCTGTTGGCATTACTCTGGTTTACAGATGAGGCCAGGCAGGGACCCAGAGGTGAGAATCAGGCCCCATGATGGGCAGAGTGGAGGAGGCCAGGTATGAAGGCAGGCAGTCTGCTCCTCGGGCCTCAAGGACTGTGTGAGCTGTCTCTTAGGATACATCAGATAGTTTCAGACTTCTCTGCTCACTTGGGATGGTACAAAGAGAGGGCAAGTCTCAGCTACAGGGTGGGCAGAGAGATGAGAAAGCCAGGCTTGAGATACACTGCAGCAGGTTCTCTTGGGTGAAGGGGTGTGTGTGTGTGTGTGTGTGTGTGTGTGTGTGTGTGTGTGTGTGACTGGCTTTGCTTAACAAGCAGTAGGTCATCTGCTTACCCGGAATTGACCACCACTGCCGTCATCCAGCTCCAGAATGTAGCCTTCGGCGGGTACCGGGGACAGAGGGGGCTGTTTCCAGGACAGCGTAGCACTGTTGTTGTGGGTGCAGCACTCCTCCAGCTGGAGGATGGGGGTTGCTGGGACTGGAGAGGAAGCTAAACAGAAATTAATGTCACTCTGTGGCTTCCGTTGAGCTGCATATATTGCAGGATCCTGATGCTACTATGGTCAGAAGGAATCAGCTCAGGGCGCACCGAGAACCTCAGGGGAATCCTTCCCACAGTCCTGGGTGGGGGAGCTTCCTGAACTCCTATGAGGCCCGGGTCTCAGCTAGGGGTGACATCGCCTACATTAGTGGTGGCAGTCTTTGGGGGGAAGGGGGCAGGGATATTCTCAGAATGGCTCTGTTTGTACCCCGTGGGCATGGACGGCATCACTCCCAAGGGAAATGAATTTCCCTTCCCGTCCTGATCACCAAACTTTCTTTAATGTCTAACAGGACTGAAGCGTTTATCATAAAGTTTATTGAAATGTAAACCCTAGTTTATAAACTTAAGACTACGCTGAGAGATAGTTCTGGAACTATTATATTTCTAATATGTGTGCTAAGATTTTACCCCATAAGTTGCTATAGAAGTTAGTGCTTGACAATTTAGTAGCAAGTGATACAAATGGTGACCTCGCCATTTGGAGACCTCCGAGGAACCTGATATCATACTCTTGAGGTGGCTGTACCTCAGACATGCCACAGAGTCAAGTGTACTCCTTTGTTTCAGGCATAGACTATCTGGCTGTGAGTCTGGGGATGCTATGTGGCCGACTAGGAATGGAGGGACCCCAGGAATCCTGGCAACCTTGAAAATCTGTCACAGTGTTATTTGGAAGTCATGATACCCCCTCACATTTTATAGAGATACTGAAAATGTTTTATAGTCCTTAAAAGTGCAGAGTGGTTAAGTCTTCAGATGCACAGTTAAACCTTTGTACATAGAAATATGGGTTAACAAATGGCTCTGTTCCTAACATATGAACTCAATATTTGTAGCTGGGAGCATTATTTTTACCAACTGCTTAAAACTTTTAGCACCAAAATGACAATGTATTATTATTTTTTAGCACTTTAATAACAGGAGAGAACATCTTGGATCATATTCAGGGACATTTAAGGGAACAAATGTCAACCTTGAAACATCTGACTGTTGTCTCAGAGTTTGACTTTGTATTTTGTGCTTTAAATTAAACATAATCCTTGTCAGTCACCCCAACCAAAGAGGTGCTGGCTTCACAGCTGTTTGGGAACCAGGTTCTGTGGTAGATGACCTTGAAAAACAAAAGCAGTGGCTAGCACATATGAGATGTGAAGCATACTGCTTACGGTTAAGGAAGGGTCATGATACGTTATAATCAAATCATGCCAGAGATACTAAAGCACAAATAAATCAGATTTAGTGAGTAGCTAATTGGTTGTGACCCATTTAGGAAAGGAAATCATGTTCCACGTTTCCATTGTGCGGGTTTTAGCAGGAATCTTATCTGAGAACTGTGCCAACAACAAGCTCTGAGGTCCCAGGGCATCTGGACTTGGAGGAAAGGAGACAAATTCATTGCTTCATTCAATAAACACACTCCAGAGTTAGGTGGCAAGAAGAGGGACAGAAGTTGGAACTCCTCGAATTATGTTTGTGGTGATTCTCACAGAAGCAGGCATAACCCAGGAGCTGGAATTGGATGGCTAGCTTTAAATCATAACTATTAGGGACTTACTTTGTTATTTAGATTTTGTTTCCTTGTAAAAATAATTCACTCTATCTTATTTACCAAGGAAGTTAAATGTTACAAGTTTAAGCAAACCATTCCTTAAAGGGCTTTCTAGAGACATGATTGATTCTCTCTGAGATATTTGCTCTGCACGGTCCTTACTAAAACCTACCATAAAAGGATTCCTGGGGCTCTCTTATTTCATTAGTTCCATATCAGTCTTTCTTTCCCTTTGTTTGTGTTTCAGGCAAGTCTACATTTCACCAATTATAAAATGAAAAATAAGGTCACACAGTGGTTTCTACTTGAATCATACAAATGCTCGCAATGTCTGTGATAAGAAACTCAAATTTCCCTCTTAGACACAGGTATAATTAACAGAGTAACTAGACTACAGGAGGTCATTGGTTATTAAAATGTTATATTTTCATATAGATCCCAAGTGGACATACTTTAACAAAACAAAACGGTAGCAAAAAAAAAAAAAAATCTAACCTTTCACCAATCTTCAGACTTTAATATTGTCTCATATTTAAACAAACAAGCAAATGAACAAAAATGGCAAAGGGAAGGGCAGAACTCATGCAGGGACATTGCTGAGTGTCTAAATCTACCTCTGTGTTAAGAATTATTTTTTCTTTTTCTTTATTTATCTGTTCTTTATTTATTCCCAAATGACGCTATACATAGAAGGTAAACATGACAAAGTTACAGCCTTATTAGCAAACACTCAGGCTGACATTTAGAAAGCTAGATTGTACAGGGCAG